GTTTCTATCGATTCTTTCCGAGGTAGGACTTAACGAACACTTTATCTCCAACGTGAAAACTTCGGATATTAAAATTTGGTCTATGCCCATGTACTATTCTGGGTGGCAACATGTTGAAAATAGTTTGAATACATCTTCCAAATATGGCTTCGACAGGGAGCTTTCCGTTTAGGACAGTTGGGTTCGGAATAGTTCTGTATACTGTTAAAAATTTTGTGATTACCTGTCTAGTTGTCTCTTCGCATTCTTTCAGTAATACTCGTTTATAGGTGCCGACAAAACGTTCTACTTGTCCATTCGAGTGGGGATGAATGGGGTGGAGAACGTAGATGTGTTATTCCATTTATGCAACAAAAATACTTGAATGATTCTGCAACGAATTGTGAGCCATTATCAGCCACTAAATTCTCTGGGACTCCAAAACAGCTGAACAAAGTAGATAACCTTCGGGTTGTTTCTGAGGCTGTACAATTGGACATACTATATATTTCTGTCTACTTCGTAAATGCATCCACAGTAATTAGAGACATTTTACTTTGAATTGAACCGACGAAATCTGCATGAAGTCTCTCCCAGGGTCTTGAAGGTGTGGGCCAATGCTGTTTCAAACCCATCACGGAAAATGTGAGCGATGACTGCTCCAATACCATAGTTCAAAGCATCTGAAGCAACCACGATTGATAGAGAAGGATCATAATGCGCCAGCAATAGATCGGAAGTTTGGAGTCGCTTGATTTTCTCGAAAGATGCTTGACAGTTTGCCGACCAATCCCATTTTGTATTCTCTAGCAGGTGGTTTAATGGAGCACGCAGACGATGGAGATTAGGGAGGAAGGTACCATAATGCCTGACCAATCCCAAGAAAGATCATAGGGTAGGGATGTCCCTAGGTTTAGGCATAGTTTTCACAGCTTTAATTTTCTTTGGATCTGGTAGTCTTCCATCTTTATCTATTATGAAACCGAGATACCGTATCTGCTGCATATAAAAGTCACACTTTTCTGTGCTAAGGCGAAAACCATATCAAGCTATGGGTTCTAGGACTTGATCCAGTTTCCTCTTCAAGTTCACCCTATCTGCTCCCATAATTATGATATCGTCTAAATAAGCCGCGGCTCCTGGAATACCTTGTAACATGGTATCCATAATTTGCTGGAAAATAGAGGGTGTCATCTCCACTCCAAAAGGTAGTCGGTTATATCGGAACGGACCATTGTGTGTGTTAATCATTAGGAGATCTTTACGTTCATCAGATATAGGGATTTGTAAATATGCGTTTGATTAATACAATTTCGCGAAATACCGACCACCGTTCAGTTTGGCGAAGTGATCTTCCGATAAGGATAACGGATGCTGGTGAAACTCTAGAGCTTCATTTAGTCCGGTGGAGTAATGTGCACACGAACGAACGCTTACACTAGACTTCTTGGTCACTACTATTGTTACAGCCCGATCTGAGAAGTTTACAGGTTCAATAACACCCGTTTCTTGAGGTCGTTCCAATTTATGTTCAACTACAGGAAGACGCCCAACTTCGAGACCAACGGACTGGATTCCGTAATGATCGATCGTGTACATACCGAATCGCAACTCTATCGATCATTGTGGAACAATCAATTGAATAGAATTCATCACTACATCGACTTCATTGATTGCGAAAAAGCATTTGACAGCGTGGACAGGACAACGCTATGGAAGCTCCTTCGACACCACGGCGTGTCTCAGAAGATAGTCAATATCATACAGAATTCCTATGATGGATTAAACTGCAAAATCGTGCATGGAGGACAGTTGACAAACTCGTTCGAAGTAAAGACCAGTGTCAGGCAAGGTTGCTTACTCTCACCCTTCCTCTTTCTCCTGGTGATCGACTGGATTATGAAGACGTCAATATCTTAAAGGAAACGTGGGATACAGTGGACACCTAGGATGCAGCTGGACGATCTAGACTTATCAGATGATCTGGTCTTCCTATCACAATCGCAACAACAAATGCTGGAGAAAACGACCAGTGTAGCAACAGCTCCAGCAGCAATAGGTCTCAATATACACAAAAGGAAAAGCAAGATTCTCCGATACAACAAAGCATGCACCAATCCAATCAAAATTGACGGAGAAGATTTGGAAGATGTAAATCATTTACATACCTGGGCAGCATCATTGATGAACATGGTAGATCTGATGCAGATGTGAAGGAGCGGATCGGCAAAGCAAGAGCAGCATATTTACAACTGAGGAACATCTGGAACTCAAAGCAGCTGTCAACCAACACCAAGGTCAGGATTTTCAATACAAATATCAAGTCAGTTCTACTGTATGGGGCGGAAGCCTGGAGAACTACGAAATCAATCATCCAGAAGATACAAGTGTTCATTAACAATTGTCTACGCAATCACTTCGTATCCGTTGACCAGACACTATTAGAAACAACCTACTGTGGGAGAGAACAAAACAGATCCCAGCAGAGGAAGAAATTATGAAGAAGCACTAGAAGTGGATAGGACACATATTGAGGAAAGCACTCAACTGTGTCACAAGGCTAGCCCCCATTTGGAATCCTCAAGACTAAAGGAGAAGATGAAGACCAAAGAACACATTACGCCGGGAAATGGAGATAGACATGAGAAGAATGAACAACAATTGGATATAATTAGAAAGGAAGGCTCATGACAGAGTGGGATGGCTAATGCTGACCGACGGTCCATGCTCCATTGGGAGTAACAGGCTTTAGCAAGTAACAGGAAGGGCAGCAAAACGCACAGGTCTCTTAGGTTGAAAAAAGGGAGTAGCTCCAGAGATGATGTTTAGTAATGTCTTGGCTTTCGTACGTTCTCCCAATTCTTCTGTAAACACATGGCGGTATTTTTGTAGCACGGAATTTCTCTGGACCCACTCTAAAGGGTTATCATTTCTGATTCGGCTGCAGATGTTGTTAATTGATAGGTTGGAAGCAAGCTATGGTAGACCAAACCAGGACAATAATAACAGTCTATAGAGTCACTGGTTGCTTCTCTGAATCATATAGATGCAGGTCACCTAACTTGTATTCTCTTGATAACCACCACTAGTGGTCAGGTGGCATCCTACAAAATCATTTACAATGACAGAAACGGGGTCGCTCATTATCTTCCTCTAGGTCTTGAGTTACAGTATTTCTTCATGCACACTTCATCATTGTCTTTTTGAAATGTATTCTCAATGCTGTCTGTTTCATTATCATTGCTACTATATTACTTTAACTTCTTTGTAATATTTTTTGAAATTTATCTCCTACCATTGTGGTCTGATAAACTGGGACAACGCATGCAAATGAACCAGACCCTACGTTGGTCATGACTGACCGAAATATATCAAGCCCATATTTATCATACACAACACAAAGTAAGATAAACAAGCATGCACAAAGTGGTTTGGATGGGCGTTTTATTTGATGAAATTATCTGATTATTATTATTCGGTGTAGTCTTCGTTGATTCAGAATAATAAATAGCTATAGTTTGTTATCAAGGAGATACATTACTCATGCTATTTTTAGAAATATTTTTGTGTTTTTCCTGTTTAGTAGCATTTTTACAAAGATATTATTCTGTATGGATCTCCTATACAATAGAATACTTTTAACTTATTATGCATTAGAGGCTTCAGTCCAAACGATGAAGAAGTACTCACCAATTACCTGACAGAATTTTATGACGTGTAAACCTTTCCTTATCGTTTTTAGATCCTCCTATCTTAAGAATCATCAAGTAAATTAATAGTCTATCACTAAATACCCGATGCTGTATTTGTATTTCTTCAAATATTTATTCTAAGTATTAAACATGAGGGATATTTTGTAGGGTGTGGAATATATATTTAACAAATTTAGTTGCTTAAGGCCTGATTTTAATCGCCATCTCATTAAAAAAATAGAGTTCTTCAAGTGGTATGGACCATTGGATAATAAATTAATGATCTCAAATTAACTCGCTAACTGTGAAAGTTGAGGGTTTTGTGTTCAATTTCTGGTGGGGTCGTGTGAGTATACTTTTAAGAAATGCCAAACTACAACTGATAAGTCTTGTCGATTGAACGCTATATTTATTTCCTAAGCAATTCCGATGACCTGCACGCTAGAACTACACAGCGACTTGAACACCAGAGAGAAGACGCAAGTACGAGAGGAAATACTTTACTCCAATGTTCATTTTATTACAGAAAATATAGGGTTTTTATAATATATCTAAATGTCCTTGGGTCGCTGGAATATTCTGGAATGCTACTAAATATAGTAGCACTGTAGTAGCCAACCAATCACAGCTTCCTCATGCGACGTTTCGCTATCTTGATATTTCTGGCCAAAACTCCAAATGAACGCTAATTGGACGAAACAATTCTTAGTTTTTCTTGATGCTTACTTGTCTTTTGCAAGCGATTTCTGGATCACCCCAACAACAACAAAGCCACTGTTTAGTAGTTCTTGTATATGTGTAATATAAACTATGAACCACTTTACAGACCTCATAAGTAAACTGTATTGTTTTGCATGTTGTTAGTTCCATGTTACAATATTAATTTTTATTGTGAGAGTTAGTTATTCAATCTTGATCTCCAGGCTTTTGTTTAAATTAAGTGTGACTTTTATAAAAAAAATTAATTGCTTTAATTCATAGGATTATAATAAATAGAAATAAACATTTTCTTGTCAGTTTGATTCCTCTAATGATGCACTTTTTGGTAATAAACTTCAATTATCATTATGTTTGTATTTGTGTGTAAGCATACTCTCATGTAATGGTACATTTAAAAAATGAAGAATATTTGAGCGAACAATTGTTTTCAATAACTTCATCATCAGGTACATTTCACAAACAATCGATGTAGTAAAAGGCATCATTTAAAGTGCATAACAATTATGATGTAATAGATGCGTAATATATATATACATATTATGAATTCAATTTCACTGTTTCATTATAAAAAGGAAGTCATTAAAATTAAGAGAAATGTATAAAGTAAACATGGAACTAAGTTATTCATTTTTCAATATATTCATTATTTTGCTTGTTTCTGTTGATTATACAAAATGTATGTCAAATGTAATAGGTGGCAAAATACTTATACCAATATCATTTGGGGCTTATGCTTCATTGGATTATCCATTCATAGTATTTTGGGGGCATCATGTTTATAGACCCTTCAAAATACCATTTTATTATGATAAATATAGCGATAAATATAATTACTACTATTATCCTAATTATGATTCGCAATCGGTGGTACCCACTGAATACATTTCATCATCATTATCATCGTCATCATTATCATCATCATCATTATCATCATCACCATCATCATATGAGAGTTATGGAGATAATCAAAATAATGAAATATTGGAAAGTGAACGACAGGCGGAAGGTTTATATTATTATGACAGAAATACAAATGATAAAACTTCACCTACCAGTCAAAAAGATGATCAAAGTTATAAAAATGACAATTATCAGACATCCTTTTATGATAATATTAAATATACTCAGCCAGATTATAACACAGTTAAGAAAAATAAATCAAATTCTATGTATAGTCAGTACAATTACAAGATGCCTGAAGTTACAAATTCACATTACAGGAAACGCTTACATAAAGAATCGACATACAAGTATAAACCTAATGTACATAAACTAAAGAAATTCGGATATAATGATCAATACAAAGCATCAAAGACAGTTTATACTAATGATAACCTTAGAAAATATCACAACAATAACAGAAAAGTAAGTTATCAATCAAGTAAATCTAATGATCACCATCATATCGATGATCACTATCATTTCGATGATCACTATCATATCGATAATCATCATTATATCGATGACCACCATCATATCATTGATAAAAATCATATCGATAATGAACATCGTATGGATAATCTCCATAATATCGATGATGACTATCATATCATTGATCAACATTATGTCGATAGTGAAAATCATATCGATAACGAACATCATATCGATAATCACTATTATATCGATGATCACATAACTAGGTTTCTAAACAAGAATAACGACAAGTCTTTAAAAATGAATTTGAAATATTATAATCAACTTACTGATGATATGAGTAAACTGGATAATGATAATAAAAATAATAATAAATTTAATTATAGAAAATATCAAAATCCTAAACGTGTTTACAAGAAACCAACGATCAATAGTCAAGAAATGTTAAATGATATTTATGAAAAAAGGAAATTAAAGAATGGCGATAAAAAACGTCGAGAGGAATACAGTAATGATCGAAATAATAAACTAAAACCTGACAATGAAAAGAATTATATCGATACAAAAACTAATTATGATGAGGGGATAAATAGAAAAGCCCCAAAAAACAAAATGGGTAAATCAGAAAAGAAGAGAGAATACATTAAAAAAGAGGTTCATAAAGAAGTAAAACATCCAAGTGAAGATGATGTTAGTGTGATTAAAGTGGTCAATGAATACGCATAAACATAGAGTAATGAATATAATAATAATGTAATGATAATTTAATCCTAAATATAATAATTTAATGTAATAATAATATGGTTGTCTTTTTATAATTCTGTTATGAACTGTTGATCATTCATTCTGAAAATCAAAATGAACTTGAATGAATAAAAGTTGGTAAAATGATTAATCAGGTTTGCAATAAAACCTATTTCTCTTTATTAAAAAAAACTTTTGTACAGATTCATTGTACTTAAGGGTTCAATCTACTGATAACGCTCATTTCTAACGCTCGATCAGTCGAGTTATGCAAAGAGACAGGAGATCAAAATTACGTAGCAAACTTTATTGCCAATAGCTAAATAGTGGTGCTTGTAATTCATGCAAATATTTAGGTGATCAAAATGGTATAGAATAAAAAACAATCTTTCCTAAGTGACAATTGTTAAGTGAATAATTTACTAACCATAGCTTGATCATATTTGGATCTTATTTACTGAGAAAAATCTTACGTCATTATGTGGTTTGTACAACTTGATTTTGAATGTAATTCTTACAGAAATTGTAAATAGCTAATTTTGCAATACTTTTTATCTATAAACTTGGTTTATTGGAAGTTGAATTTCAGAGACGTTTGTGCCAACATCTAGCTACCTGTTTACTTTTAGAAATTTAGAACTAAATAAATTTAATTCTTGCATAATATATGTTATTACTTCTGCTTTCAAATAGGCGGGTTAAGGCTTCATTATGAAATTATGGTTAACAATTAGATATAACAGATTTTTCCGAACAATATATTTTACGGTTTAAGAACGAAAAAATATATTCTCTCAAAAATAAGTCATAATCAAAACAAAATACAAAAGAAACTTATACGAAAATTAGCTTTTTTGACTAGACAAACAGTTTTTGAAGTAATAGCCTCCCAAATTAGTGATTAGATGCTACAGTGAGCAGGTAACGTCAAGTTAGAAAATACAACTTACCATTCTTACAATGGGTTAATTTAATGATCTCGAAGAATTAAAGAAATAGAGGTAAATAGGAAAATAGACCTCATAAAATATATAGTCGGTATTGTAAAAGAAAATCAGTTCAATTTATCTAAACTAATGGATTGCTCACTACGATATTAGATTTAAGAGTAAATAGTTTGATAGATGTTGATACTATGGCTGGATTATCATAATATTTCTAGGACTAATTGCTATGTTTCCAGTTACCTATATATTAAAGTTTTCATTACTCATAAGGTTATATTGACTTATATAGCTTTCCAACACTAAAATTATGTTTCAAATTATTGATGTAACTGGTTGCGAATGTCTTCGAACATAATTTCATATTACATCGCTTTCATTCCATTTTTATCCTCCATCTCGAATCATCAAAACTCTTGGACACATTTCAACATAGTCGACAGATTTTAATCGGGACTGAGAAATAGTGTGACATTGATTAATTTAGATACTTCACTTTAAAATTGATGTTTAATTGAGTTAAGTCCAAATCTATTATTTTTCAGATATATAGTTTAAAGTTTTAGTAAAAAATTCGTATAAATTTTAACTAGTTTAAGAAAAACTATGACTTTGTATTAAAATACATTCGAATACGTGTATGAATAAATTTACAATGCTAAACTTTAGTAGAAAACAATGTTTTAAGTGTGGTCGTTGTGTGTAATCGACTGAAATCAATGAGCCTGGATTTTATGCCTATTAGCGCACATTAACAATTCGTGTTTTAAATTTGAGGGTACTGACGTCCTGCAAAGGATTCAAACTCGATTAGTTCAATTTTAAGATAAGAAGAAAGGAAGCTGGAAAACCATTATAATCAATGGAAGACTTTACGGCAGTTTTGCCTTTGTAACATTTTGACAGAGCGCTCTGTCAGGAAAAGACTGATATTAATAAATACGAGCCATTTACTTTCATCTCAGTGCCCCTAATATAATGATGTTATAATGTTTTGAATTATTTGAATTATAGCACGAACTAAGAGTCCAAGAAATAACGCAATTGAATTAAGAAGACACAAGCACAAACGAATGTACTGTATTTGGAATTCGAAATCGTACAATCAACCAGTACAAAAGTATGATTAGTTCATTCAAACACCACATCCGCCACAGCTTAAATAGAAGTACAAGTGTTTATAATCGGTTGTATGTCTTCTTGTTAAGTTCATCCTGAGTCTGTCCGACATTGTATTGGATAAAAACTCTGTATTATCTAGAATATGCTCATTAATATTGAAATTAACAAACGAAATCGGAACAGACTCACCTGGACTTGTATACAATCAACTTGTCGGTTTTGCACTGAAATCATTCATATCTCGAACTGGAACCATAGATTTTTCAACGCTATCCCCCCCACGAAATAATGTTGGGTCTTTATATTCCCAAGTTATGAATAATGTGGCTTCATTTAAAACATATTTCTCACACTGATTAGAGTAAACATTAGAAGTGTTTTTGTGATAAGGATGAACAACAGTTGATATGAAATCATCAGAATTGTAATCAAAATCGAGCTCATTTAGTATTCGTGCTTTGCCTTGAACAAGTTTTTCACAAGGAGCAAATGCATTATGAGGATAGGTAATACATGATATAACATCAGGATTAGATTCTACTGAAATATTTTCATGAAATTGACTAAGAATGTCATTGCAGAGCAATGGATCATTAGAAAAATCAGTATCTATCATGACTGTCTCAGGTTTTGATAATGAATAGGTTCATTTAACATATTTTCCTCAGATTTGTAAGAAATTTCATCAGAAATATGTGAATCATTGGGAAAAGCCATACCTGGTACAATAGCTCGAGAATTCTGATAAATCGATTGGTTAGAAACTGTTGTTTCGCAAGAATTCTGAATTTGATTTAACTCTGAACTGCTTTTTGACTCTACACTGTCTATTGCAATAGTTGATAAAGATAAATCATCATTATAAATACTCGACTCAGTAGAATAAGAATTACAAGACTTAATATTAGTTGCAATAACATGAACATTAGTATTACAGACTGACTGAATATATCCAATATCATCACATTTAAAGCACTTAGAATTACGAAATTTACATGAATTAAAAGTGTGGAACTTGCCACAGGACAAATATTGACCAAACTTGCGCCAATCTTCGTGAAACGCACTGCAACTCCTCAATGAATTATCTGCATAACCTTGAGTATGCACTGGATTAGGATAACGTGATGTATTAGAATTTTTGATGTCCTGATGAATCATTTTAGGAAATTCCCCTTCTTTACTGCAATCAAAATTTGCATACTTGACATGGTCTAGTAGTAATTCCTTGAGAGTTGTATAAGGAAGCTCAATGGGCTTTTCCGGCATAGGCAAAGTTCTAAATAAGCTGTATGCTTCTTTACCGATGAATGTGAGGAAATATGCCACAATATTAACATCCTCATCATCTTCCTTGGTCATGACCCAGATTTCGAACCTTTCGAAATAATCCTCAAAAGCTTCAGAAGTTGAATGAATGTCTAACTTTTCCATTGCAGGCTCAATCTCGACGCCACTATTATGTTTTGAATTATTTGAATTATAGCACGAAATAAGAGTCCAAGAAATAACGCAATTGAATTAAGAAGACACAAGCACAAACGAATGTACTGTATTTGGAATTCGAAATCGTACAATCAACCAGTACAAAAGTATGATTAGTTCATTCAAACACCACAGATGTCCCTGTGAGAAAGATTACTGAACTCTATTCTCGATGTGGTCGCATATTACTGAGGATTCACCGAACACGATAAAAGTTTTGTCCAGAGCTTTCTACGTTCACATGTGATATCACTTCCTAATGAAATATATCTTCAAAACTTATCAATTTTTGTGATTCGTTTTAGTCATGAATATTAATCACGGAAATAAAGAGCAAGAATTTAAGTATTCGGCTTAAAAAGGCGTTTATGATTAAAACGGGGTTTTGTGGAGATTGTAGTAAATTTAATAATTGAATTCGTTAGTCTATGTAAGCTAGACCACCATTGATAACTTGGAACCACTGAACGGCCGTTTCTTCATAGTATGGGAATACTTGATAGCACGCATCCACGATCCTGAATGCGGGACTCGAGCCCAGAACATTTGGTCTCGTGCTCGAACACCTAACATCCAGACCACTGAGACGGGATCCAACGGTTTTAATGCCCAACTTCAATCGATCCATGATCTTGTGCAACCATTCATCTATTGTCTGAGGTAGATATCTGTCTCTACCCGGCACGGATTCAACCCATGGATTCAACTATTAAAATCACCACTAATCCCACAAAACCACCATTCCAACCATAATTATCATATGCTCACTAATGACCGACTTCAACACCATTTCCTGGAGTTATATTTATAAGTCAAACAAGTACTATTGGTTATTTCATACAGTGTTTCTCGTATGGGATCGGAACCACTGAATTTACTACTATTAGATCTTTTAACAGACGAGCACATTTGCTATAAATGATTATCCACAGACTACTAACTAACTGTAGAGTTGAAATAAGTAATGTAACCACGGTAGATGATCAAGGTATATCAGTAATATATATGATTACTGAATTCTGCTCTTAGCTTTTTGAGAAAAGGACACCTTAGTTATTGAGTGTTATAACCCAATGAGAATAATGAACGGTAACTTTTGGGACCCATTTATGGACCAATACTGTACGTATATTCTTATCGTATCATTGTTAAATAACTAAACTATTCATATTCACGTTCCTCTTATTTTGACCTATGAACTATTATTATACGGTTTACCATTCTTGAGTTACGTCTGGTCTATCAATTACTATCTCCCACATTCACAGCCACTTTTGGCTAAATCTTGTACAAATGTTTGCTCACTATTTTAAGGTACGATGTAGTCTGTTTGGTTGGTATATAAACCCAGTACGTTTGAAATAAATGATTCATATCGCAGAGGCTGAGACTGGTGTTCGTGACTTAACGGGTGGGGCTAGGAGGAAGCAT